GAATCTTTTATCTTTTTATTTTGAAGAGGCTTTTTTTTTTAAAGTTTATTTATTTTGAAAGGTGGGGAGGGGCAGGGAGAAAGAGAGAATCCCAAGCAGGCTCCACACCATTCGGGCAGAGCCCAACGTGGGGCTCGAACCCATGAACCGTGAGATCATGACCTGAGCTGAAGTCACGAGTTGGACTCTCAACTGACTGAGCCACCCAGGTGCCCCTGAATCTTTTATCTTTTTAAATCCCAGGTTTTTATCAACAAAATAGGGGTAAGATGGCATTTATCATACAGAAGTGTCGTAAGAATTAATATGATCGTAATATCAAGGACCTGGAACTTAGTAAGGGAGCTCACCACGAGCCATTTAGTGAGTCATACACTGTGCTATCTGGACATGCCTGCTCAGCCTCACTACCACCAATGACAGCCCCTCAAGGTTTTTTCTGGAAATTACGTCCTTTGGGTCTAATAAGGCTTTTTCCCACTCCTGGTTGTTAGTGATGGTACTGAAGATGCCCTTGGAGATCTGAACAACCTTGAGCTTGTATTGTCCTACATTCTTATTTCAGGATGGCTCAAGCTCCCTGAGAGCACAATTGTGTGAGAATAGAATACAAGGTAACTGGAAAAGAGAATTTTATCTAATAATTGGAGTGGATTAGAAATTGCTTCACTGAACCGCATCTCTATGTGCGGGAAGAATGCCATTCGCAAATACATTTATAGCAAATACATCTGTAAACATAGCATATATTTAGCAATACATATATAATACATAGCAAATACATATATAAACATTTGCATACATTTATAACATACATAATAAATGTGCACACTTACCAGGGTCCATCCAAGCCAGTTAGCCCAAGGTAGCTTCGTGGGCTATAGTCATATACTGGAAATGTACTACTCCAGAGTGGGGAATGCGGGAAGCACGAAAGAAAGAGAAACAATAGCTTATGGTAAAGGAGCCTTAGAGCCAGGAGGCAGCCAGAACTTCCTCCTGCAGGGCCATTGTTGCAGGACAACAGCTTCAGGGTTGTGCAACACCTTTAGTAAACACTTCCTGAAGCAGAGACAAGAATGAACCCGGGAGTTTCATTCTGTCTCACTTGAGAGGAGTCAGGAACAGATCAAGCAGTGCACCCTGAGCGAGAAGGGCAGGCACTCTGCCCCTGGGCTCATCCAGCATGCTGCAGGGGCTTCTTCTGACGGTCACGGTCACGTTCCTCCTTTCTCCAGTTCCAGGTCGGTGTTTAATTCCTTTTCGGGTTCTGTTAGATACGCCAGTGAACTGCTTGCTTTTCACCTTCTCTCAATAGCTTTTTTTTTTTTAAACCAATTTTACTCACCAGTTGGGCTGGTTTTAGTCTGCTGTTTGGGGGGGGGGGGCTGTGACTGCTGTAAACCCTCAATGTAAAGGAGAGGGAAGGAGACGACTTGAATCCATTTTCCTATGTCTGATATGGGAATACATAGCCATCAAAGGGAAAACTTCATACAGCTTAATTGAAGCAGAGAATATGATCTTCGTGTCACAAAGCGGAATTCGTCAAATCCCGCTTGTCCTTTTCAGAGCAGTAAAGATGCAGAGGATTTGACTAGCTACCGCTGTGCACAAGGCTTTCAGAAAGTATCCGCTGTAATTATAGGGACCAGTTTGGCTCGTCGTGTTCCTTTTGAGTGCACGTTTTTATGTTTGGTCCCGCCATTACTGGTGATAATAAGTATGACTAATTAGGAATAAACAGGTGACCAGCTTGATATTTCTAAAGCATTGTGCTATTACCTGATCAAAACAAGGTTATCGTTAAGCTTAAATGGATCATTTATTTCTATTTTGCTGGTTATCAAACACGTAAGACTTCAAAAGGAGAGAAATTTTACTTCTCCATAATAAGTGACTTCTGGCATGTCCCTCCATTTCTGAGAAATTCACCAATTAGATGTTGGTTCAATTTAATTGGGTAACACATTTCCTTAACTTATTTCTATTTCCAGAGCTTATTTCAGTCACCACAGTAGCTTCGGTGCGTGAAAATCCTTCCCATTCAATCTTTTCTTGGGTTTTAGAGTGCTTGCGGAGACGTAGGAATGGGAACAGATCATCAACAAGAAGTATAGGGTTAGGGAGGGAAAGATTCTCTTCTCTCTCGCACTCTCCCTGCTTGGTCACTAAAAGTAATTCTCCCCACCTCCTCCCCACTGTTTCTGATTTCTTTTCCAGGCTTGTGAGAGTTTTACTTCACATCATTAACTATAGAACTGTACTGGGCATTTAAGTTATTGACTTCAATTGCTACTTTGGGAGTCAACCTTAATAGAAACCTTCTTTCCCTACATGTCTCCAAAAGTGCTATCTCTATAAAAATTCTTTGGGATCCCTCACTTGGTTGGCCCCTGAGAATTGCTTGGGAACTAGCTTTATTGAACAGCATAAAGATCAAGCAGGATCCATTAACAGCTAACCCTGGAGTCCACCCACATGACAGGCTTTTCACCACATTGGGCATACTAGCTGATTCTGTTCTCTCATCTTTGCATTCACAACGTGGCACCAAGAGACAGCTTCCTTAGAAACCATGCCTAAAACTGTGATGTCTTCAAGTATTTGGTGGTGGGGACAGAGGGTTTGCAGTATCTCTTGTGAGAACAGGGTGACCGACAGTTACCCCCTCATCTTCTATCTTGAACAGAGAGTCCCCCCTCCCACTTTACCTTCCATTTTTTATTTTCAAGACTGTCTCCTTGGCAGTGAGTATTATTCCCACTGATATTATTCCTACATGGATTTCTTTCCCAGCCAGAATGTAAAAAAATAAAGCAATTCTCATTTTCTCATCTCTTCCTTTTTGTTGATCTGCCCCCACCATCCAAAGAAAAAATACGTGCCTCGGACCACGTCTTGTGCCCAGTTTCCATAGACATGAAATAAAAGAATGAAGTATAATTAGGCCAGCTGTTTGTACACACTTCACCATCCCCTGAGAAAAATAACTCCTAGGATTTCATCATAGGAAAAAACCCAAATATTTAAAAGGATGTAACAGTTGTTTGGGGGTGAGATGTACGTGCACTGACAAAAGAGAAAGTTCTTTAATATATTTCAACAGGATATCCAGAGGGTACAGTACTTTTTAAAATCATTTTGTTTCAAATTAACAATTCTTTCTTATCTTCATAAAATGACTGGATGAGCCTCAAGAGCATTTATAATTTAATCTTCATAGCCAAAATGATAGATTTAATGAGGATGCATTTTTCCTCGATGTTTGTCGTCACTTTTACTACACTAAGCTTCCAATCGCCAGAGTTTGAGGGGGTGCAGCGTAGCCCAGATCTGAAGTCAATATTGAATAAACTCTGATCCCGGGCTTAATGTCATGTGTTTAGTTTGGAAAGATATTCTTTAAACGATTTGGAACAGATTTGATCAAAAATGAAAATGCCAAATATTATACACAAATGTGCTAAACTCCAAAATTGCCCCCAAACACATTAAAACAGAACGTGGCAATCCAGACCAGTGCCTGTGATATTAATCTTGCCAATGAGTATTCGCTTTTCTAAAACCAATATACAGTAAAATCATTATCTCAGGCAATCCAAAATAATAGTTTTGTTTTTTCTCGATCTAGTGTTGCCGGCCAGAAGTAATCCAACGTGTGAGTTCTGTGGGAGAGAGAGAAAGCGAGTACTAAAATGAATTAGTAGAAACATATTGTGTTACATCTCGGATTTGTGTAATCCCAGGATGGCAGTTAGTTGTGTTTGTTCCACAGGCTTCCAAGTAATTAGCCTGATTTTATTCAGCTGGGAGGAGGCTGCGTCATTTCCATCAACCTGAAGGATGATTGAGCCAAACGATATTTCGGTCTGCTGTGTATCTCTAACTTGGGTCATCTGTGATCATTTGAATCTCATTCTTTCAGGGGCCTTCTTGGTCCCACAAAAATAAGAGCCATTAAGAGAAAGTCTGTTTCCTGTAGAGAATGTACTATGTTGCAAGAGCGCAGAAAATCTGTTGCTTGCACACTGAAGATAGTGAGAGGTTGCCAGAGGCTTTTTAAAAAAGTATTCTGGTTTCTTTTTTTTTTTTTTTTCAACGTTTATTTATTTTTGGGACAGAGAGAGACAGAGCATGAACGGGGGAGGGGCAGAGAGAGAGGGAGACACAGAATCGGAAACAGGCTCCAGGCTCTGAGCCATCAGCCCAGAGCCTGACGCGGGGCTCGAACTCACGCACCGCGAGATCGTGACCTGGCTGAAGTCGGACGCTTAACCGACTGCGCCACCCAGGCGCCCCAATTCTGGTTTCTTTGTTGATAGATTTTATTTGCCATTTGGAAGTGTGCAGCCATCAAAGAGCTGGAAGTAAATTTCTTCGCTAATGTACATATTTGACTTCATATTGAAGTCAATTGGTAGTTTCCGATTTCATGAAATGTTAAGATTTAGATACTAAGTAGAAGCATGGAGATGCGTGTATATGTCAAGAAAACTTGCATTGGCCGGATGGCCTGTTTCCCTCACCCCTTCTGAAAGGGGAATGTGTGTGGGCTATCATTTTTTGCTTTGATAAAAAGAATTCACCGGATAGTTATTATTTTATGACCCAAGGGCAACTTGGGCTGATATTTACTCTTGGAATAGTGTATCATGGATGAAAACCAATTTTCAAACAGCATTGTCAGAAGAGTTACTTTGGCTGCACATTGGTGACTATATGGCTTCATGAACTCCATATTAATGGGACTAATTGCACTGATTGGACATAACCCACAAGACAGCATGTGGTTGCCTTATGGTGTGCTTGTTTGGTATTACAGGTTTGCAAGAAGCTTCAGGGAATTGTGTCAATACCGTCAGTTAATTTGTGGCAAGAGTAATTTTCTGAACCTCTTGGCATCTTATTATTTTGACATAATTATGATAATTAGGAAAATTTTAACTCAATGCTAAAATGATCGATTTAATGTTCCTTTAGGCTTTTTAATTTCTGTTATAAAATTTTTTGATAAATAATATTATTGTTTTCCTTTACAAAAAATAAATTAAATAGAAATAAAAATGCCCAGTGATTATCTCTGCAACAGCAAGAAGGTCTTTACAAAAAATAAATTAAATAGAAATAAAAATGCCCAGTGATTATCTCTACAACAGCAAGAAGGTCTTGAGGTATCTTATCTAGTTCTTGAAGTCTTGTCTATGTAATGATACTTATTTTGTCAAAACCAATTAAAACTTTGTCCAAATGATCCTCATCTCTTCAAAGAGATTACAGAGAATTCAGTATTTGTTTGCAGAAAACCATAGACTACATGAACTGTCCTTAAAGGTCATTTAATCTTCTGTCTTTTTAACCAATTAAAAAATTAGAACCAAACCCAAAGTTCCAGTATCCTAGGGTTGATTCCATGATTTTAAATGTTTTCAAAATGTTTTTAAGAGTAAATCTCAAGTAAATCTCATTGAAAGAAAAGCTATTGCATATCCCTTTAATGGCCTGGTTTTTACCTAATGAGATTTAGCCAATGGCTCTTAAATGGTCAAGTGCATTTAGCCATCCTAAAATGATAAAAGAAAATGGACATAACTAGGAATTTTTTAAAGTTTCTGCTTTAGGGTCGCCTGGGTGTCTCAGTCAGTTGAGCATCCAACTTCGGCTCAGGTCATGATCTTGCGGTCTGTGAGTTTAAGCCCCACGTCAAAGCCTGGAGCCTGCTTTGGATTCCATGTCCCCCTCTCGCTCTCTGTTCCTCCTCCGCTGGTACTCTGTCTTTCTCTGTCTCAAAAATAAATAAGCATTAAAAAAAAATTAAAGCTTCTGCTTTAGTTTCTAAACAACATTTAAAAAAATATTCTCTGGGACATCTTTGGGATAAGCGTACAAGTCACCCAAGATGACTGACAAAAAATACTCAATGTTATTTGTTAAAAGATCAAAAAATAATATAAATTTATATTACCATAGAATTTAGGTTTGAGTGCTTTAATAAGTTGGGATTATCTTTAGAAAGCACTCTAGTCATTACCCAGAGAACTAAATCGCTTCCAGACCACAGTGTTAGTAAATGGCCAGCCTGGGCCCATACTTTGATTTTTGGTTTCTACTGCATCTATATTCTGGGTAGACCAGTAGCCCCTTCAGAAGCCAAAGAGCTGACCTATTGACATTTACTTAGACACTATTCTACACGGAGGAAGGACTCCATCAAGTGGGAAAATAAAAAAGAAAACAGAAAATTCAGTGTTAGTTTTCGGAAAACTGAATTCATCTCAAAAATAACTTGTAGAAACAATGCTGAGATGAGAATTCAAAATGTAGATAGAAGGTTGGATGAGATAACTGTTCAATTGTCTTTCCATATGGCTCCAGGCTCAAAGTTCCCTTCCGGACCAGGAATAGTGCTCTAATTGTTTGCTTCTCTAATTTTTATTCTTTTCATGCTTTGTATGCAAAAATAAATTTACCTGTATTGCAAAAGCCAAGCATTCTATGGAGCTGGCATTGGAGCTTTATTACTGCATCATAGTTTTCATCGTTAATGTAAAATATTGCTATTGGACAATACGAAAAAATATTAGAATCAGAAATGGCATACATCATTGATTTCATTTTTGTAACACTGTGTAGTTTTCAGAGTGCTTCTACTCAATTATGCTGACACTGATAGAAGTTGTCTTAGAAGATTAGTTTGGTTTCTGCCTTCCTGTGCTGGCCTGTATTGCTTGCTACGTTCCTCGGCAGAAGATTCAAGGTAGCAAAGAGAAATGGAAAAATCCAAAAGAAATACTTTCACCAAATAGAGATACACTTGCAAGCTTTCAGTGAGGATGTATGTGAAGGTCTAGGCTAAAGATCTGAGAGGAAGAGTGGGTTTCTGATTTTGTCTCTCTACTCTTAAATTACTCTGGCATAAAACTCAGTTAAGCCTCTGTATGTGGCATTATTGCCGAAACGCAATACGGCTGATTATTACCAACCGGCTTGTTTATTTCTTCTGCTTCACTCAATCTGCTCTTACCCTTTTTTCCCTCCTCAGTAAACGCGTTAAAAGAACTCTCTGGAGGGAAGAACTATGAAGTGGTTTATCCCAGAAGACTTCATTCACTACATAAAAGAGAGGTCAAGGAGCCAGAACAACAGGTAATTCTTTTGACTTAACGAAGAGTCTTGAAAAAAAAATGCATATATTTACAGGTGGTATACATATAGATATATAACTCTAATATATAAATATATACACATATTTATATAGAGACATTTTCATTTGTTATTTGACCTATATTATTTTTATTAATCGTCACAATAACCCAATGTTGTATTTTGAGCCTCATTTTTTTGCAGATTAAGGTTCTGACGGTTGAAATAAACTGTCCAAGGTCACACAGAGAGTAAACCTTAATACTTTTATGGTAATTTCTAATTCTGTGTACTTCCAAAGAAATTAGATACAGTTTATTTTATCTGTCTATTATCTACTTATCGATCATCTGCATATCTATGTACACACGTACAAACAAAACCATGAACATTAAAACTGAAGTAGAAAATAAAATATTGTGAATCAATTAATATATATATGCATATTAAGTTAAGATGAATTACTGTAATTAAACATGAAATTTATTTTTGTCTTTCCTAAAGAGAAAGTTATTAAAGTTTGTAGAATTCTTACTACTTAATGAAACAACACAGTCTTAGTCAAAAGCTAAAAGCTAAAACATGATGATCCATTCAACAGTTTTCTCATTATCTGCACTCAGGAGTCTTTTGCTGGGAGACAGGAAAAATACAGATAAATGAGACATAAATAATAACTTGTAGAAATATTGTAAGATGAAACTCACTGGGAGTACATATCCCCCCCACTGGATAAGTTTCCCCACAGATGATTTCTTCTAAAGCAAACATGTTTATAATAGCAGAACCCATAGGAGACCCTGTTTATTGAAATTATTCTCTCTCAACAAAATGTTTCTGGTAAATTTATTTAAAAAAAATTTTTTTTTCAACGTTTTTATTTATTTTTGGGACAGAGAGAGACAGAGCATGAACGGGGGAGGGGCAGAGAGAGAGGGAGACACAGAATCGGAAACAGGCTCCAGGCTCTGAGCCATCAGCCCAGAGCCCGACGTGGGGCTCGAACTCACGGACCGCGAGATCGTGACCTGGCTGAAGTCGGACGCTTAACCGACTGTGCCACCCAGGCGCCCCCCCTTTTTTTTTTTTTTAATTTTTTTTTTTGTTTCTGGTAAATTTAAATGGGGCCTGTATGCACGGGGTTCCTCATCAGTATGGCCCTCTTCAAATGCTTTCCAGTATTCTCTTAAAAACGCCAGATACCTTTTGTCACTGCATATTTTGAGGAAAGTTAATACACGTCCAGTGTTATAAAGTGAATCCCTCATAAAACAAATTTAAGCTTTTGAACAATTTATTTTGTTGAAAAACTCTAGAATAATTACTGACACCTATTAGATGATCAATCTTAAGTTTTGGAAGAATTGAGTGGATGGATGCAGTTGATACAATGTGCTTGATATTTATTGCCAATACATTATTTTTCTAGTCCACAACTCGATTCACTGATTGTATAAGCCTTATGTTTTCTTGATTCATAGTAAAAGTGTAAAGGATCCGAATTCAGAAGGCTTGTTTATATTCACATCTTAGCTTTGTTAATTTTCTCTGTTAGACACTGATGAGCTTCAATTTTTTTCATCTTAAAATTGAGATAATGATAGGAATGCTTACTTTATATGGCTATTTGGAGAAAACTTACGTGCAAAGCAAAGCAGGATGCAATTATTAACCCCCTGCTCATGATTATGCTATGGCACTGTCTTGTATAACTCACCACCTTCTACTTCTGACTAACTGTCATGGCTCTTTTGCTTAATATAATGGTTTATTAAGCCGTTTTGTTATCTTTCTGCTTCTCAACACAACCTCCTTTTTAGTCAGCTTTGGTAATCTCAAAGCCTTTCTTGGCAATATGTTTATTTCTACCACTCAGCCCTTCTTATGGAGTTTTTTTTTCCTATTTAGCATGTTCTCCCCCTATGTAACACCCAGTTCATATTCTATTCTTGTAAAGTAAACGTGGAATATCTGTGTATGTACTGATAGATCCTTTTCCTGGAGTCATGCTTCAGGAAGGGCCAGTGTTACACCATTTGGCTCTTGATTTTCTCTTAATATTGATTTCACTATCATTATCGTGTGTGTGTGTGTCCAGGTGACTGTGAGAATAAGTTTAATCTTCTTATCTGGGTTGAAACTGCCCACGTCAATTAAAAAAAAGTGGTTTTTTTTTGTACCTTTAACATGCCTCTGGTCCTCCTTACCCTCACCTCTCAACCTGTCCTATGGAAGGTATTCCATAAATGTTCATCGATTCAAGGAAATCCCCACAGAACACATCCATCTTACCTTTTGGAGGAAATAAAAACATTACACCAAATTCCATAGGCAACCAAAGGGAAATGTGCCTAAACGATTGGAGGCCTTTAATGGTTCTTTATAGGGTGCATTTTATTTTTATTTCTGCCGTTTTGTGGAGTATGTTTGCAAGAGTCTCCTTGCTGCCTTCAGTTGTCGACAGTAGGAGGTAACATGTTATTAGCCATGGAGAATGTGACAGGGCGAGGACTGAATGCTCCCGACCATCTCACAAATACATGTAACTCAGTCATGTTTGCCTTTTAGTATTATTCAACTAGCATTGATGTTCTCAGGTGCTGGTTGATGCCTTTGAAGTACCGGCCAGCAAGAATGTGATCAAACCATTAAAAACCACTAAAAATTCCTGGCTGAAGAAACATTCCAAAGGCATTGATCTGCTTTTCCCAGTCACTGTTTTCATCCTCTGATATTTCAGAATCTCACCTCCTTTCCCTCATCACAGATGTCTAGCTCTCATTCTTACAGTTCCTGGACTACTGTGTATAGAATCACCAGATTCCAGCAAATAAAAATACAGGACACCCGGTTAAATTTGGATGTCAGATAAACAATGAAAGCTTTTTTTTTTTTTTTGTATACGTCATCTCCAATATCATGTGGGTCATGCTTGTATTTAAAAATTATTCACTTTATCTGGAATTCAGATTTAACAATGCCCTGTATTCTAGGTGGCGATCATACCATGGGGCTTTTGATGATTTGAAACTTTCGGGGCGCCTGGGTGGCACAGTCGGTTGAGTTCGACTTCATTGTAGGTCATCTGCTGGTCCGGGAGTTCGTAGGCTCGGCTCAGGACTCGCTCAGAGCTCGGAGCCTGTTTCCTCATTCTGTGTCTCCCTCTCTCTGCCCCCTCCCCGTTCATGCTCTGTATCTCCTTCATCCAAAATAAATAAACGTTGAAAAAAAAAATTAAAAAACTGAACCGAGGTTGATGGGGGTGAGGCGGGGGAGAGTGGGTGATGGGGATTGAGAGGTCTGTGGATGACACTGGTGTAAGGGAAACCGTTTGACATAATTTCATATATTGAAAAAAAAAAGAAGCTCTCTTTGTGGCTTCTGCATTGAGACTATTGGTCCTCCTTGTGCAAAGAATTGATTAGCAATTATTCAAAATAACTAGAATTTGGAATGCATGTGAAGGGAGGGATCTCTACATCCTGAAGATGTTATATACATTCTCAGTGAAATTAATCACTTCTCAAAGTAGGGAAGATGAGGACTTTGTATACTTATTATTATTTTTTAAATATTTTTTAATTTTTTTTAAATAATTTATTGTCACATTAGCTAACATACAGTGTATACAGTGTAGTCTTGGCTTTGGGAGTAGATTCCCGTGATTCATCATACAACACCCAGTGCTCATCCCAAGAAGTGCCCTCTTCAATGCCCATCACCCATTTCCCTGCCCTCCTACCCCACCTCCCACCCCTATCAACCCTCAGTTTGTTCTTTGTATTTAAGAGTCTTTTATGGTTTGTCTCCCTCTCTGTTTGTAACTTATTTTTTCTTCCCTTCCCCTATGGTCTTCTGTTAAGTTTCTCAAATTCCACATACGAATACAAAGATATATCTGTCTTTTTCTGCCTGGCTTATTTCACTTAGCATAATACCCTCCAGTTCCATCCATGTTGTTGCAAATGGCAAGATTTCATTCTTTTTCATCGCTGAGAGGTTTTCCATTGTGTGTGTGTGTGTGTGTGTGTGTGTGTGTGTATCTATATTTGTATCTATCTATCTATCTATCTGTACCTTCTTTACCCACTCATCAGTTGATGGACATTTGGGCTCTTTCTATAATTTGGTTATTGTTGATTTATCCAAAGGATACAGGGGTGCTGATTCATAGGGGCACATATACCGCCATGTTTAATAGCAGCGCTATCAACAACATACGTACTATTAATCAACTGTGCCCTCTACTGGTGTAGAGAACAGAGGCACTGGCTTTACCTTCAGCTGTGCCAAGAGCATGGCCCCATCCTTCTGACTTCATCATGCCTGGCATCATGAAATAGTCCTCTGAAAAAATTTTCTGGAGGGAATACTCAGGGGCTGAGTAGAAACTTGCATGTTTTTTTCATTATCGTATTTTTGGTTATGCTGCGTATGCATGGCATAAGGAAAACTGAATAACTATTTGTTGAATAAATGAGCAAATGGATAATAAACAAATGAACAAATGGGCACATCCATGAATTAGTGTAACTGGAATATATTACCCATATATCTGCATAGAAATGTATTCAGTAAGTACTTAATTAAGGTCCCGGGTGTTGGGAACTTAATATTCAAAGGTAATTCCTATCTTCCCAGGATTCTGCCTATAGAGCCCACACACTTCCTTTGAGGCCAAAACTGCCAGGCTGTTGGCTCATGTCACAAAATAAAACATCTGGCAGCACAGTACCTTCCTTATGTTGGGAACAATTTCAGGTCTTAGCTGGGTCCACCAGAGTTTCTGGAGGCCTCAGACTACTGTATGTTATGGCAACAGTTGTATTACTGGAACCACACCTCCCTGGGACTTCGAGGGCTTCCTTGGCTATTTATTTTCTGTGTGCATGGGCATCATCTTGACTTCATCCTCTTGCTCCCCTCCCAGGAACGTCCAGGATGGTGGCCTTCTCAATCCACCCACTAAACCTTACCCATGGATGGTGTTTCTCCTGGAGGAAGTGTTTATTTATATGTCCTTATGGCCAGCTAACCTTATTCATTGGGCTCCAAATAATTTCCATCTAGTGGACACTGTCCAAATCAAGGTGCATCTTTCCTCTCCTAACCCATAGTTCAGGACCCAGGTTGTATACAAGTAGGATACGCTTTTTATTAGCAGGCATTGCTTTCCACCATGGACTTCTACTTGGAAAGTACAGTTATAACATCACCTAGAGCACCCTCTTTCACAAAGACTTGTTTTCTTCCTTGCTGTTTCCTTTCGTCTATAATCTCTATGCTAGTGTTGGCTAAAACTTCCAGTCCAAAAGCAACAATCTTTTCTAAAACCACCACCAAATAAATTTTAGGTGAAAATCTACAAAAATCCATTGCTGACAGGAAATGCATATCTGGAAGCCTCTTCTGGGTAGAAGATTATATTTACTATCCTCCAAATATTTTAGTTCCATCTGGCCTTTCCTAAACCTGAATAATAAGTGGTTACAATGATTCCCTATAATTTTTATTTTCAACCTTCAGGCTTTTTTTCCCCCCAGCTCCTGATGTTTATAAACATGAAGTGAATTGCAGCAGCCTCTCTTCATCTAGATCCACACATTGTACTTAGGAGTTTTCGACTTCAGAAAAGACTCCAATAATTGATCATTTAAAGGGAATGTGGGCCATAATGGTTGACTTTGGAGGTGGCAAACCCCGGCACAATCCTCCTGATCTGGAGGCCCAAATTCACTATTGTCCCTTGCTGAGCTCAGGTATTGCTCTGGCCAGGAGACGGAGGAGAGAAGAAAAGCAGAGAAAACCGCACTCAGTCATATTTGGTCTGACATATTTAGATCTCTTTAATAACAATGTCCTGGCACTCCTCAGTGAGTTTTTAGATTCACTGTTTTATAGAACAGAATCAACATTCAGCACACAATAACATCTTCTTTAACACACTTCTGTACAGTCCTATCTCCTCTTGGATATAAAAAAAAAATCTCAATTTCCAACCATTCTCCTTTTCTCCATGAGGTTTATTTGAGGTAATACTTTCCCATTCTGAACTCCTAAGACTTATTTTCTTCCTGATGACTTCGTTCTGCTTTCAAATACATATTTCTGTTGTTTTGTCCATATTCTAGCTTCCATTTAGCCTTGAGAAGACCTCCAGACCAAAAATCATCCGTAAGAGTCTTTGAGGTCTCTGGGTCTGTGTGCTTACTATTCCTTCTTCTCAAATAACTTCCCCACCCTGCTTCACCTGGCTAATTCATGTCTCCGCTTACATGTTACTTCCTCAGGAAAGCCTTTTCTGACCTTAAGATGTTAGACACTCTACACTGCATTCATATTTATGTCCCTTATCATATAAATCATTTTTATTATCTGTATTTGCACAAGATTTTAAGCTTCCTGACAGTTGGCATCAATTTTTTCTTGCTTAGCGTTGAATTTCCGGAACCAAATAGAGTCATGCTTATAACTCAAATAATATTTGTATATATCATGCCTATAACTGAAATAATATTTGTAAAATGCATGGGTGGATGGGTGGATGGATGGATAGATGGATGGATATACAGGTCTCAGGTAATTTGTCCATTCAGGTGGCAGAGTTGTGTGATTTATTAAAAGAGGCCAGAAGCAGACATTTGCTATTATATAGACTACTGCTAAAGAAAGCAGGCATTGTTTACTGATGATTAAAAGATGAACGCAGCCAAATCAATTATTTGTGTATTTATAACTACCAGCGAATGTTTGTGCATTTTTGCAGGAAAAATTTGAAACTGAATTGAAGTACGAAATGACAGTTAATGGGAAAATTGCAGTGCTTTACTTGAAAAAAAGCAAGTAAGTGTTTTTACTTCTCACATTACCCTCACCAACAAAACGTTAGCAGGTGGAAACTGTGCTGAATGAGTCTGTTTCTGCCTCAGGCTCTCAAAAACCTCGGCTAATAAGCTTTTTCTCTCGACTGGCCCACGGGGTTGGGTGAATATATGTTCCTACTGAAGTGGTTTACGTTGAGCAAAACAATAGTTTATTAGTGTTTCAATTCTTCTAGTAATAAAACACAGTGAATGAGGTACAAGCAGATATACATTTTATCAAGTTCAAGGAAAAGGCAGATTTCTAGACCTTCCCCTACATTATTTTGTTATTTTAATATTTTAATTTTAAATTTATTTATTCAAATTCAAGTTAGTTAACGTACAGTGTAGTATGGGTTTCGGGAATAGAACCCAGTGACTTACCACGTGCATATAATCCACAGTGCTCATCTCAACAAGTGCCCTCCTTAATGCCCATCATCCATTTAGCCCACCCCCCGCCCACCACCCCTCCAGCATCCCTCAGTTTGTTCTCTGTATTTAAGAGTCTCTTACAGTTTGCCTCCCTCTCTCTTTGTAACTTATTTTTCCTCTCCTTCCCCTGTGTTCATCTGTTGTGTTTCTTAAATTCCACATATGAGTGAAATTATATGGCATTATTGTATTTTATTTACTAGTACTGAAAGATTAGATTTGTTTATTTATTGAGAGAGAGACAGACAGAGAGAGCACATGGGCTGAGGAGGGGATGAGAGAGAGGGAGAGAGAGAGAGAATCCTAAGCAGACTCTGCGTTGACAGTGAGGCTTGATCCCATGAACCTCAAGATCATGACTTGAGCTGAAATCGAGAGTCTGACACTTAACCAACTGAGCCACCCAGGTGCCCCCTGAAGGATTAGGTTTTAAAACGATTCTCAATCATTTCCATCAGGAAAAAAAAAAGATATATCTAAGTTAAATAACCCCTAGGACCAATTGGGCTCTCCTGATTCCAATGCCAGTGCTCTTTCCCACCCAGTTACACACTAACCTGCCCACTTTCTCATGCAATTACATTGTCCTCCTGTTCCCTCATTCTCTTTGTTCACGTTGGCCACAGGCAACATTTCTTGCAAATTTCATGGCCTCTGCTCTTGCCCAGATCTTGCTCATCCTACATCTTGACTATTTCAAACGTAGTTTCCCCACCGAATTCTGTGCTTTCAAGCTCTTTCAATCCTTTAATTATCCTATATAGTACAGCAAGATTTTTTTTTTCATTCAAATAGACTCTGCCTTTTGCAAAACTTCACAACAGCCTGGAGTTTGGAAATCACGTGGCAGGGTGGAAATAGTACAGGTGTGGACTTGAAGCAGACCTAGATATGATCCTTTGCCACTGGAACTGTGTAATTGTTATGGAACCTGGCCTGGATCCACCCAGCCGAAGAACCAAGCGGCACTCAGGGATCTCGGAAGGCAGGAGGTTTATTTCACACAGGCGGGCTCAGAGAAGGTCACTCTCCAGAGGTCTGAGTTCGTAAGCAGAGGGAACAATTTATAGTCTGTGACTTCCGCATTCCGCATTAGTAGTAATTTGGCCAGTGTGGCAAGAGGGGTAGGAAGAGGAACCGGGAAGGGGAGTCTTTGGGCAGGGACTGGAATTTCCCTATCAGTCCTGTCGGCCACCTTGTAACAGATTTTTCCCTATCATAATCTCATCTGGAAAATAATGTGAGTCATATTTACCATGTAAGACTTCAGAAAGGATGAAATGAATGATCCATGTAAAGTGTGTAACTCAGGTGGCATTTTACACTTACTAGTTTCTTCCTTTTCTCCCCACCCCGCCTCTTTAAAAGGTATAGCCAGGGGCGCCTGGGTGGCGCAGTCGGTTAAGCGTCCGACTTCAGCCAGGTCACGATCTCGAGGTCCGTGAGTTCGAGCCCCGTGTCGGGCTCTGGGCTGATGGCTCAGAGCCTGGAGCCTGTTTCCGATTCTGTGTCTCCCTCTCTCTCTGCTCCTCCTCCGTTCATGCTCTGTCTCTCTCTGTCCCAAAAATAAATAAACGTTGAAAAAAAAATTAATAAAAGGTATATCCAGACTCTTATGTGCTGGTGGGTCATTGAAAGAACTCAAAAAAGCTCGGTGAAAACTCTGGAAGGGCCCTACCTACCAAATGCATGTCAGTTCCCAATAGACTTTCACTGCTACGGTTGTTAGCAGTCGCTGGGAACTGAAAAGGACTGGTGAAAATATAGTTATCGTAAACTGGTGAGGGACGCTGCCCTTTTTAGTCATTTTTATCAACTCTACCCTTCTCACTTCCATTTGGAAATGGAAATTTATCTCCCCTAAATAAGTATAAAAGTCTGATGAAAAAGCAGATACTGTTCCATGCTAGTCAGGCATATCTCTGGCCCTCTCAGTCTTCATGCTTGTATTAGTCTTGAGGAGTTAGGAGGATGAGCTCAGGAGCTAGAACATTCCTGCGCATCCAGTGAAAGCTTTCATTTTGATAACTGGACTTTTTTAAAAAATTTTTTTAAATGTTTATTTTTGCGAGAGAGAGAGAGAGAGAGA